TCTTATGGGATGTAATATTTAATAAAATAAGAAGTACTCCATTTTTATTAACCTTAAGTAATGAGTTATATGATCACTTTCTTATCAAATGTTACTGAAATGTGTCAATCTTTTTGTTCTTCTATATTCATATGTCAATATTTATTAAATTCTTATATCTTTTTCGAATTTCAAGTGGTACTTCGACAATCTAAAATTAATTAGAACATATCATTAATTAGGCATCATATTGATTTTTATGTTTAATTAGTAAATTCGTTTAACCTTGAAAGTATACATCAACGAAAATTTTTTGTATGATGACTAAAAAAGTAACTGTCATGTGTTATTAAAAAAAGTTCTCCCATAAAACTATTTTAATAGATCTATGTTTGTCATTTTTTTAAATTTTTACAAAACATATGCTTACTTATAAAAAAAATATATAAAGTAAGACTGAAATAATATTTATGCAACAAGAAAACCGAAAAATCTGAAAAAACCGACAAAACCGAACCGATCCAAACCGATATAATTGGTTTGGTTTGGTTTTAATAAAAACCGAACCAACCCGGTCCATGTACACCCCTAGTTTTACATAAGATATGGAATGATCAAAGCCATGGGACCATTACTTAAGAACGGAAGCTGCTTTTCCTCCTGAAACTTATAGCCTGTTTGGCCAAGCTTCTTTTTGGCCAAAAGTGCTTTTTTTTTGCCAAAAGCACTTTTGGCAAAAAATTGAGGTGTTTGGCCAAGCTTTTGGAAGGAAAAAAAGTGCTTTTGAGGAGAAGCAGCAGCAGTTTTGGAGAAGCAGAAAAAGTAGCTTCTCTCCAAAAGCACTTTTTTGAGAAGCACTTTTGAGAAAAATACACTTAGAAGCAGTTTTTTAAAGCTTGGCCAAACACTAATTGCTGCTCAGAAGTGCTTTTCAAACTAATTAGCCAAACACAAACTGCTTCTCACCAAAAGTACTTTTGAGAAAAGCACTTTTGAAAAAAAAACACTTCTCAAAATAAGCTGATTTTTGCAGCTTGGCCAAACGGGCTATTAGATTGATCTTTCTTTCCCCGGTTTTTTAAATCGGTGTATTTGTATTGGATTCTAACTACTTCGGAGTCGTATCCCATAAGGTTCATAAAGGAAAATTATTCCTTGCTTTTTGTTCTCGAAATTTAAACCCGAGTCTCTAGTTAAGCCTAAAGGAATAATAACCTTTCTCTTTTATGATTAATTTGATGTTTGAGTCACGTGAATTGTACTCCTTCCGTTCACTTTTACTTGGCATGTTTTGACTTTTCACGCCCCTTAAGAATTAATAAATGAAGTGTATAATTTACCATGATACCCATATTAATTGATGCATATTTTATTGAATTTGAGAAAATGATTTGATTTGAGTAATAAATACTGTGAGTATAATAGGAAAATTTTTTTGTCTTATCTTGATATGCGTAAAGTGAAAAATAAAAATGAAAATCTATTTCTAATATATATGCCAAGTAAAAACGAACGGAGGGAGTATGTATTTCGATTATTTGACGGTGCAACTATTATATTACTATGTTCACAAAAACATAGGTAAATACCAAAAAATTACCAAACTAATTGTTTTTATTGAGATCTGAATCCTTGTGCTACATGCTTTTAATCACTTCACTGACTTGTCGACCCCATAATTGCGGCAATTAACAACATATATAACTTCCATATTTTTTGTTTGGGATTTTTGTATCTACATATGGAGGCCGACCCTGAAATTTAACGCCATTGGGACATCAGTATTCCGCTCAGCCAGTGTCTCCTACAGGCTTTTAGTGTTCAGAGTGCCAAGTAATTTAAATTATTTATTTTCAAATTATACACGTATACATATACAAAGTTTTTACTGTAGTTTACGGAGTCGAATAACCCCTCAAGGCTAGATATAGGTCCGCCTCTGCCTAAAGATTTACCAAGATGTAGTTTGCTAGTGATTGTCTAATTGTTTTGTCCTTTTATCCTAGATTTAGCTCTGAATTTGTTGAAATAGTCTAATTTAGTTGATCATCACCTCCCAAAACAGTAAAATTACTAAAATTTACCGACTAGTTACAATTAGGATGGGCAAACGGGCGGATCAGGTCGGATGTAGTTCGGGTCGAAAAACGGATAATAAAAAAACGGATCAATTATCCGACCAACCCATATTTAATACGGATAAAAAACGGGTTAACCGGCGGATAATATGGTTATGGGTAGCCATATTATCCATGAATTCTTGCCTATAATCACTTTTGGGAGAATTCTTAGTCTTCCTAACTTGAGTAACCCCCAATTTGAGGCTTTACAAATGTAAAAGTTAGATCCATTGGTTATCCATTTTGTAAATGGATAATATGATTCTTATCCATATTTGACCCGTTTTTAAAAAGTTCATTATCCAACCCATTTTTTAGTGGATAATATGGGTGGTTAACTGTTTTCTTTTATCAATTTTGTCACCCCTAGTCACAATTTTATTTGTCACATTAAACAAGAGGTATAGTCATACATGTCAAGTCCAATATGTTGAATGCCATTTATAAGGGGATTTTTACATAACTATACACTATTGGAAACTTTATTACCAAAAATATTCATGTTTAGTTAATTACCCTACCTAAACAAGTTTTGTTTACAAAATATATACATTTCACCTTAAAAGGCTCCCAATCCATTATTAGTGCTTACCATTAAGAGATTAATTTATATATTTTTCCTTTTTTCTCTCCTCTTTCCCCTTTTCTTTCCGGATCTTCCACCCACACTTCAAATCTTTTTGGTTTCTCTTTCTTTCCTTCTTTGACGCCTAATTGCTTCTCTTTTAACCTTGGAACAAGATTAGACCTCTTTCCCCTTCTTGCCCTTCATAATATAAAGCAACTATAAATTGGGACTTCCTGTTTTGTCTATTAGCACATGCTACATCCCATGCTAGGGGTATTCATGGTTCGGTTTGGATCGGTTTTTCCCTAAAAAGAAACCAGACCAAGTAAGTCAATTTTTCAAATATTAGAACCAAACCAAACCAATTAAGGCGGTTTTCTCACAATTCGATTTATGTCGGGTTTTGTCGGGTTTTTGGTTTTTTGGTTATTTGTCGGGTTTTTTTTAAATACAAGACATACACTACCAAACACATATTCTGGCGACCACATTTTCAACGTAACACTATCAAATCAATTGCCTTTTGAAAAATCTATTATTTACCAAAATATATTGATGGTAATTGAATCAAATAGTGATGAATAATTTAAGGACTCAATTAAAAATATATTATTTTTAACACGAAATGGATTCTTACATTTAACAAAAGAAAACTATCAATCAAACTAGAATGTAAAGGTAAAGAACTATACTAAAAGTGCATACTATTAACATTTACCATTAAATTTTTGAAACTTTGTATACAAATATACATATATATAGGTGTAATAATAAATTTGAAATAGCTACTCCTATAGTCGGTTTGGTTCGGGTTTTTTTCGGTTTTTTTCTGATTAAAACCAAAACCAAACCAAATTTGATCGGTTTTTAAAATTCAAAACCAAAACCAAACCAAACCAAAAAGTATCAGTTTTTTTGGTCGGTTTGATTTGGTTCGATTTTTCGGGTTTTTATGGACACCCCTATCCCATGCATTCTATTAGAGAGTAACGTTGTCATTATTTGTTATAATGGCATCAAAACTTATATCTGAAATAAGTTTGTATGGCAACACTGCCAAAATTATGGTTGTAAGGGCCAGCTTGATTAGAAGACAACCCTTCACATCCTAATTCCTTTTTGCTCTTCTGCATTTTCAGTGTTTCTAATGCGTCTGCTCTCTGCAACATAAAAAAATTTCCATTTGCTCTTCACTTCACTATATAGGAAATCAAGTTTTCTAGTTAGTCGCTACAAAAGTAAGAGTTTTTGTGGCGACTTTAAAAGTCCGCACAACAAAAACAGGGTTTTTGGTGACAACCATTTGTAATTGTCACAGAAAATAATATTTTTCGTAGCGACTATACTTCAAAATTTTTAATGACTGTCAAAGGTGGAATTGATGCTCTGTTTTCCTTTGCTCTACATTATTGGAATTAGGGATTGAGAGATAGAGAGAAACGTAGAGAGAGGGACGCATGAGACAGAGAGAGAGAGAGACGCAGAGAGAGAGCGCACGAGGGAGAGAGGAAATAATTGATCACTAAAGTGTATCTAATTGGTAAATTTGTATATAGGAGGTAATTAAATTGAAACTTGAGCAGGGAGGGTAATAAAGTTTCCAATAGTGTATTGGTATGTAAAAATATAAGCCGCGTAACTAAATGCGATTTATAAATTGCATATGCCGAATTGAAATATAAGTCCAACAGTGTATAAGTATGTAAAAATATAAGCCGCATAACTAAATGCGATTTATAAGTTGCATATGCCGAATTAAAATATAAGTCCAATAGTGTATAGGTACGTAAAAATATAAGCCGCGTAACTAACTGCGATTTATAAGTTGCCGAATTGAAATATAAGTCGCATTTGTTACGAGTTGCATTTATCCGATTGCAATTTAGGTTCGCAACTAGACATGCCTAAGTTTTTTCTCATTTTCGATTCCACTTTGGATATTCCTTATTAATTATCTATAATTTTTTTCCTTCAATATTTTAGCTCTTCATGTATAAATATCTTTATACATAGTAATGAGTTAGTATTCTTCCATATAGCACAACACATATTTATTAAACGCATAAAAAAAATTAACTGATAAAAAATTGAGTCCTGAATTATCTTTTATTATAAGCAATTCTCTATCGAAGAATTATAAACAACGGTAAAGGAAATTTATATGTAATTATAAATAAGGAAATCCAAAACGGTAACCCATATTGGGAAAAAAAAAACATTAACCAACGTGTAAGTCGCATCCTCAGAATACGACGTATTTATAGACAATTCCAGAAGCGTGAAATCAGATTAACATTCACATATTCCAAATCTCTCTACATTCTTCTTCAAGAAAAAACTAACCGACTCCTCTAATAAACCTCCATATAAAAAGCAAATCACTTCCATTTTCTCATTTTCCAAAAATAAAAATCAAGAAATCCAGTTCTCAATTTTCTCTTGTTCAAATCCATCACTTTTTTTTTAGTGAAAAAAGAGAAATCAATGGCGGACGTACATATGGGAGAGAGTGAGACTTTCGCTTTTCAAGCTGAGATCAATCAGTTACTGAGTTTAATTATCAATACCTTTTACACTAATAAAGAGATTTTCCTACGTGAACTAATCAGCAATTGTTCTGATGTAAGTTTTCGTTGAAAAAAGCTTAAGCTGTTACAGTTTATTTACTTAATTATGTCTGCCAAGTACGTAAAAGTTCTTATTGATAATAGCTGACGGTGAAAGTTCTTATTGATAATAGCTGACGGTGAAACAGAACTCAGGATCTTTGTCTGCTCTGCTCTGATAACATATTGAAGTGTGTCATCGTATCACTTAAATATTTAAGTTTTTAGTTTAAATAAAAAACGACCCCGGTGCACTAAAGCTCCGCTATCGTATCACTTAAATATTTAAGTTGTTAGATTAAAAAAAAAACGATCCGGTGCACTAAGCTCCGCTATCGTATCACTTAAATAATTAAGTTGTTAAGCTCCCGCTATTCGTAGGATCCAGGGAAGGTTTCGGACTATAAGGGTCTATTGTATGCAGTCTATCCTTGTATTTCTTGCTGTTTCCACGGTTCGAACCCATGACCTTCTGGTCATATGGCAACAACTTTACCAGTTACGCTATTGCTTCCTTTTAAGTTGTTAGATAAAGACATATTTATTTATTTATGTAGTAGTTTAAATTTACGTGTTGTTTTGACTGTTAATTGAAGTTAATTGATAATAGCTGATGGGTTGACGCTTGATATAATAACATATTGAAGTGTGTGATCCTGTCATTTAAATAGTTAAGTTGTTAGATAAAGACATACTATTTAATTATGTTGGGGTTTAAATTTCTGTGTTGTTTTGATTGTTGATTGAAGTTATTGATAATAGGTGATGGGTTGACGCTCTGCTCTGATAACATATTGAAATGTGTGATAGTATCATTTGAATACTTAAGTTGTTAGATGAAAACATACTATTTAACTATGTTGTAGTTTAAATGTATGTGTTGTTTTTATTGTTGATTGAATTTATCTATTTTTTTTAGCTGAATTTGTTGAATTTTTTTGGTGGAATTTGTGTAGGCGTTGGATAAGATTCGGTTTGAGAGCTTGACGGATAAAAGCAAACTTGATGCATTACCTGAGCTTTTTATTAGGATTGTTCCTGATAAGGTGAATAAGACGCTTTCCATAATTGACAGTGGTATCGGTATGACTAAAGCAGGTATGTTGATCATGAAGTGCATGAATACTCAATATTTGTGGCGCGCAAATTTTCGTTTACACTACTAGCATAGGTTCAACCTGTAATAGCAGATCAATTTCTATGTTTATCAGTTATAGAATTACATAATGTTCGATGTGATTTCAGATATAGAATTTTCAAGTTTTATGAAATAAAATTTACTACATATGTATTCAAAAACAATATAAAAGTACTATACCTTATCAGAGGTGGACCCAAGATTTGAAGGTCGCATGTGCACTTTTGCATTCAATTAAAATCTCCTTTGTATATAGGGTGCAATTACTAATATATCATTATTTTTTAAAAGCATATACATGTATGCATGGAATTTTGCCGAACATTTTTGTGCCGGTGATCCTTCTCTTTACAACATAGGTCCGCCCCTGTGTTATAGGAATAGTTATTAGGAGCTCTGTTGGTGTATTGGCTAGTAGTATTGAAAGCAAATTCAGCATAATGGTTATTGAAGAAATGATTATGTTTTGTAAACAGATTTAGTGAACAATTTGGGGACAATCGCAAGGTCCGGGACAAAGGAGTTTATGGAGGCATTACAGGCAGGAGCTGATGTTAGTATGATTGGGCAATTTGGTGTTGGTTTCTACTCTTCCTATCTTGTGGCTGAGAAAGTTGTGGTGACGACCAAGCACAACGACGACGAGCAGTATGTGTGGGAGTCGCAAGCTGGTGGATCGTTCACTGTTACGCGTGACGTCAATGGAGAGCCACTCGGGAGAGGGACTAAGATCACCCTCTACTTGAAGGAAGATCAGGTACCAATATAGTTGATTGTTCCTTTTTTTTTTTTTGGGGACGATATTTATTAGTTGAAAATATTTTGTAGTAATGTTAGCGCTTTTGGTCATGTTAGCACTTTTGCTTTACGCCCTATGCTTTTCTAGGAGCTGTTTAGTCTTTCAGAGATTTAGAGATTTATGTAGAAAGCATAAATAACTTTTACTACTACTTAAATTATTTTTATTATTATTTTTGTTTTTGTATAATATTGGCCTGAAATGAGTTTAAAGTTGACTAACATGGTCAATGAGGATTCATATAGCCGATTCGCTGGTTTGGGACTGAGGCGTTGTTGTTGTTGCTTGTTATGACGAGAAGGAACAATCCATGAAAATTGTTACTTTAGTATATGAAGTTCTTAATCTCAAGTAAATATGTTTTTTGTACTTTATGCAGGTGGAATACTTGGAAGAGAGGAGAATAAAGGATCTCGTGAAGAAACATTCCGAGTTCATTAGCTATCCGATTTACCTCTGGACTGAGAAGACCACCGAGAAGGAAGTTAGCGATGATGAAGACGAGAAAGGCAAGAAGGAACAAGAAGGCGACGTAGAAGAAGTCGACGAGGATAAAGAGAAGGGCAAAAAGAAGAAAAAGAAGATTAAGGAAGTGACTCATGAATGGGAGCTAATCAACAAGCAGAAACCGATCTGGCTCCGCAAGCCTGAAGAAGTGACTAAGGAGGAGTATTGTTCTTTCTACAAGAGTCTGACGAACGATTGGGAGGATCCTCTTTGCTGGAAACACTTCTCTGTTGAGGGACAGCTCGAGTTCAGGGCGATCCTCTTTGTTCCAAAGAGAGCTCCGTTTGATCTGTTCGACACGAGGAAGAAGCTTAACAATATTAAGCTCTATGTGCGTAGAGTTTTCATAATGGACAATTGCGAAGAACTCATTCCCGATTACCTTGGCTTTGTTAAGGGTGTGGTGGATTCTGATGATCTTCCGCTCAACATTTCACGTGAGACGCTTCAACAGAACAAGATTTTGAAGGTTATCAGGAAGAATCTTGTGAAGAAATGCATCGAAATGTTCTTTGAGATCTCTGAGAACAAAGAGGATTACAACAAATTTTACGAAGCGTTCTCAAAGAACATCAAGTTGGGCATTCACGAAGACGTCCAAAACAGAACCAAACTCTCTGATCTTCTCAGGTTCCACTCGACAAAGAGCGGTGATGAGATGACTAGTTTGAAGGACTACGTCACGAGGATGAAAGGAGGGCAGAAGGAAATCTACTACATTACTGGCGAGAGCAAGAAAGCTGTCGAGAACTCTCCGTTCCTCGAAAAGCTCAAGAAGAGAGGATATGAAGTTCTTTTCATGGTTGACTCAATCGATGAGTACGCGATCGGGCAATTAAAAGAATACGACGGAAAGAAACTAGTATCTGCCACTAAAGAAGGGCTAAAACTTGAAGAAACAGAAGAAGAGAAGCAGAAAAAGGAAGAAAAGAAGAAATCATTTGAGAACTTGTGTAAAGTCATCAAAGATATTCTTGGTGACAGAGTCGAAAAAGTGGTAGTTTCCGACAGGATCGTTGACTCCCCGTGCTGCTTAGTAACTGGAGAATATGGTTGGACAGCAAACATGGAGAGGATAATGAAAGCACAGGCATTAAGGGATAGTAGCATGAGCGCTTACATGTCGAGTAAAAAGACGATGGAGATAAATCCGGACAACGGCATAATGGAGGAGTTGAGAAAGAGAGCTGAGGTTGATAAGAATGATAAATCTGTTAAGGATTTAGTGCTGCTGCTTTTTGAGACTGCTTTGTTGACATCTGGTTTCAGTCTTGATGATCCGAACGCGTTTGCTGCGAGGATTCATAGGATGTTGAAGTTAGGTCTTAGTATCGACGAAGATGAGGCAAGTGGAGATGATACTGAGATGCCTGTATTGGAAGAAGAGGGTAATGAGGAGAGTAAAATGGAGGAAGTTGACTGAGAAACATCAATTAGAAGTAGCATGTCTGAATATATATAAATATTTGGTAGGGTTGTTTTGTGGCTTCTTATCCCCTCCGGGGTAGGGGTAAGGTCTGCGTACAGTTTGCGTACATTCTACCCTCCCCAGACCCCACTGGTGGAATTTTACTGGGTTGTTGTTGTTGTTGTTGTTGTTGTTGTTGTTGTTGTTGTTTTGTGGCTTCTGTTTCACTGGCTTTTTACTACTATTCTCCTTTCTATTTTCTGGCATCTGGTAAACATAATGTATATATGTATAAGCTTTGGTTTTACTATCTAGAATGCTTTTCCCTGTGAATTATGTTGGTTTCCTCTGCTTTGAAAGAACATGAATAACTCAAGACAGCAACTCAATCATTCACTTTCTGCAAATATTGTAGATTGTTGCCTGCTTGCGAGAGCATTTGTTTTTTTGACTTGAGTTTCTATCAGAAACAGCCTCTCTATTAGAGGCTGCACAAGGCAGTAAGGTTTGAGTACATAGTACCCTTCTCAGACCCCGCACACCGGATAATTGTTGCAAGAGCATTCATTTAGCATCAAGCATGATCCCGCACACCGGATAATTGTTGCAAAGCATTCATTTAGCATCAAGCATGATCTTTAAATTGGTGAACAATCCAGTGAGAGTTTCGCGATATCTCCATCTCTGTGTCTATGAAAGAGTAACAAAGTGAGTTTTCTGTATAATAGTTAGTATATGTCATTTCAAAGGTGTTTCCACACTCCAAAAGCTTAAATCCAAAATGATCAAAGGTTCGCCATCAGTACATTGTTTAGGTTTCTGAGATCTTATATTGCGCCTAATAGGAATAGGATCTTTGAGCCGAGGGTCTATTGGAAAGTCTCTCTACCTTCACACGGTAAGAGTAAGGTCTGCGTATACACTACCCTCGTGAGACCCTATGTGGGATTAAACTGAGTATGTTGTAGTTCGTAGAACCAATATGCGATGGCTCAAGTGAAAAGCAGCCTTTAACACTAGGTTCCAAACTAATGCATTATCATATCTATACAACATGACTCTGTCAATCACAAACAAGACATGCCAGAAAAAGAAAAACACAGATCTTTAAATCATATGCAACGAAGCTTATAGCGAGGCACATATATGGCCCCAGCCAGTATATATTTTGATAACAATAGGGTCAGGGGTAAGTTTATGCTTTCCTTCTGTAATTATATCTCCAATTCAAGGGAGAGGGACGACAATAAAACCAGCATGCGCGACTTTAAGAGACTAGTTCTGACTAATGAAACCCACTAAAAAAAGATGACAGATTATTTCTTTAATCAAAGATCTAACTAAGGTTTTCCAGATATCTGTCAAACAAGTATCTAAGCAATTTAACTTTTAACTCTGGTGAACCAAAAAAAAAAGGGGCAGTCCAATGTACAAGGCATCTTGCGTTCATGCAGGCGTTCATACAGCTTACCCTAAGCAAGTATTAGTGGCTGCTTCCACGGTTCGAACCCGTAACCTATAGTGAACAAGATACCAAAACTTCACTCTGTGCCTTCAAGGTCTTCAGTTACCAAGCCCGTAACAAGTAGAGGATCTGGTTCTTCGATCTGATTTAGCTTCCTGTTTCAAGAAGACGAAGCACTATTCAGTTATAGACAGCAATATTTGCAGACAATGATATCAAAATCAAACATGCAAAGAAGAATGCATTTCTTCAAAGATTTATGAGGGCAGCAACAATACATACAGCTTTACGACTAACTGGAAACAGGCAAGATTTATAGTTGCTGTGAAGTATTATTTCTGAATTTCACCGTACAAAGAACTACAGGCCGAGAAGGACTCATTATACTGCAACTTTTGATAAGCACAAGCAAATCCATTCTCGCCAAGCAGAATGAGTCCTTCTAATAGGTCTATGACAGTGAAATGGAGAAATACTGTCCAACTATCCCAGAATGAGACGACAATGTCATTCTCGATGCATTATATGCTAATACATCCTCATACCCCCTTCCCATAAAAAATGAAGAAACAAGCATAGATGATAGCAGATGATCCACAGGATACGCCATCGTTGACTAATTAAGCATCATGCAGTGGGTAAGAGTATGTATTAAACGATATACGTGCAATGCATCCGTTTCTTTGATATTTTTGGTACACTTTCATCAGAGAAGAGTTGAGTAAACTTACCCGCACGTCTTCTTATTGTGACCCAGGCCCTTACACTTGCTACACTGCATCTGCCGTTTAACCATGTCAAAAGCGTCGACCTTTTTCATCTTTGGTCGGCCAGGTGGACGTTTGGTTGGTGGGGGAGTAATAATAATTGCCGCATCAATTACACCACTTGCTGGTTTTTCCAGGTTAGGTATGGGGTTAATCGATTCAGCATATGTTACATGGTAACTCTCGGTTGTGAAGTATCTGGAACAATAATCATATGGACTCCTTCCTATGCATTCAAAAACAGCAATAGCATGGCAACAAGGCATCCCATTTAGTTGCCAACCTTTGCAACTACAATCCCATTGATCAATATCAACTACGTCACCAGACTCACCACCACGAACTTCAAATGTGCTCCCGTGTGAGGGTAATACTTGAAGTAACCTTGCTTTTGACGTTTCGCTCTGAAGTTTCTCTTCCATCAACGGTGTCAATCTCGTAGCCCACTGACTGGACTCAACACGCCTAGTATAGATCAATTCCATTATCTTCCCTCGTAATACATCGACCATTTGAACTATCGGCAGCTCATTCACCTCCATAACCCAATCATAAAAAAGCTGCCCAATGTTAGATGTCAAGAGGCCATACCTTGTCCCACCAAAAAGGGCGTTCGCCCAATGGTCGGGCTCACTTCGAGTGACCCAATCATATGCAACAGGTGAGATTGCTCTTATATTCTCAGCACAGCGCTCAAAACTATCAAGTGTTGGGGCACAAGCAGCAGTATATAAATCTTGGATCATAAGACGTCTAGCTTCATGAGAAAACTGTCCTTGCAGATCGTTATTTAATTTTTCCGCAAGATAGCGCAGGCAATAACCATGGTAACCCTCTTCATTAAATATATCGTTAATTGACTCCCTTAAGCCCCTTTGGAAATCACAAACAAATGTTATAGGACAGGACATTGAGACAGCAGATTTAAGTTCTGAAAGAAACCAATGCCAGTTGTCCTTGGTCTCCTCATCTACAACCGCAAAGGCTAAAGGAAAGACACCATCCTCCCCGTCAACACCTACCGCTGCCAACAGTGTTCCCTGATATTTTGCATAGAGAAGAGCGCTGTCAAGGAATAGAAGAGGGCGGCAACCTTGTCGAAAACCAGATAATGAGGCATGAAATGAGATAAATAGACGATGGAAGCTCGAGTCATCCTTTGCCGCAACTGTAGCAACACTACCAGGATTAGTTTCTACAATTTTCTCACATAATAAAGGTAACTGACTGTATGCCTCTCTGTAAGAACCCTGAAGCTGCTCTCTTGCCTTCTCTTTTGCACGTCTTGCCTGAGAGTAGTTCAGCTGAATGCCATATTCACGCTCAATATCATTTGCAATATCCTTTGGCTTGTAATTGGGAGCATACTTCAACTTTTCCTTTATTATATTTCCCATCCATCCCCTTGTGGACCGGTACCCAGCTTTTACTGCAGCTCCTTCACATGTATGCTTCGGGTTCATTGTCTTAATGCATATTAGCTCGGTGGTAGGCAACTTCGATGCATATATTGACCAAGGACAACCTTCCGACTTACATTTAGCAGTTACTCGACGACTTTCATTTTTCTTATATTTATAAGTGAATCCTTGGGCAATCGAGTACTTATGTAGAGCTTCACGGAATTCAGAAAAGCTGTTAAATCTTTGGCCAACGCCAGTAATTGCATTCTCCCACTGCATAGCTGCTTTGCGATGCTTCTCATCATTGCTATTGCTACTTGGATAAACAGCTAGGGGACTAGTATCAACTGGGACTTGAAGCAGATCATCAGGATCGACCATATCCACGGGGTTAGCAGGGGTAAGTGGAGGCTCCGACACAGTAGTCCTGCTCGACCTTCATAGTTAAGCAAGTCATAAAGATATTTAAGAAATCAAAAACAGATTCAAAAAACACTCAAGTTTCAACATATGCATGAGGAAGCAAAATGAACAAACAGAACTGAATATAAAGAGAAGTAAATACCTACTGGCAGTCACATTTGGAGTACTTCGAGCAACGGGTTCTTCTACAATTATAAACACCTCTACTTGTTCAGAATCCTTGAAGAAGTTGATCATACGCTTGAGGTCCTTATCTTTAGATATTGTAATGAGAGTCTTCTTATTCCCAGGGAGAAAATACTTAATCGTCATTCCATCAATACCACACTCAAAGTTTTCCGCTACTTCTTGCTTAAAATCTTTCAGAAGTGTCTGGTTATCAAGGTCTAGAGCATATGCCTCCCCACCAACATATGTCAAAGATCCATCTTCGTTGTTGGTCACAAACTCCCCTCCAGATTGACAAATGGCAATTATTTTCTTGGAGGCCATCGCTAGGCCAGCATAAAAACTTCAACTGAAAAAATTGCACCAACTAAAAAGAACAAACCTTTGTCATACACCACATAAAATAGAATGCAATGCAGAAAAAGTTATTGGACCACGAAAATCAATCTATATATCCAAATCAATTAATAAAGTTGAAGTCTTTAGAACATTGAGAAGCAATAGTCAAGTAACCATAGGCATAATCAAAGATGGAAAGTTTAAAGTCGCAACAACAACAACAACAAACCCAGTATAATTCCACAAGTGTGTACGCAGACCTTACCCCTACCTACAAGGTAGAGAGGCGGTTCCGATAGACCCTCAGCTCAAGGCAAAGATGAAATAAAGCGAAAGTTTAAAGCCAAAAAACAAAAACACCAAAGAAATTTTGTTATGCAGGGCAGATAATGGGAATGCGCCCGACAAATAAATTAATGGGATCATGAAAATTAAGCTACAATCTCAATTTAACATAGAAAGTTGAAGTCGTTGGAACATTAAGTAGTGATAATCAAGTGACCAAAAGCATAATTAAGCTAGAAAAACCCCTATGAAAATCAAGCTACATTCGTATTTAACAAATAACGTTGAAGTCTTTGGAACATTAAGTAGCGATAATCAAGTCACCAAAAAGCATAATAAAGATAAAAACAAAACCCAATGAAAATCAACCTACATTTCGATTTAACAAATAAAGTTGAGATCCATTAGTATATTAAGAAGCAATAATCAAGTCACCAAAAGGATAATTAAGCTAAAAACAAAAACCCCAAATGAAAATCAAGCTACATTCCATTTTAACAAATAAAGTTGGAGTCATTGGAACATTAAGTAGCGACAATCGAGTAATTAAAGAGCATAATATTGTCGAGTCATTAAAGAGCGCAATAAAGGTAAAAACAAAAACCCCAGATGAAAATTTGGATGCATTCTCAATTTAACATTTAAAGTTGAAGTCTTTTGGTATATTCAGAAGCAGTAATCAAGTCACCAAAAGCATAATTAAGCTAGAAACAAAAACCCCAGAAAAATTTGGCTACATTCTCAATTTAACATTTAAAGTTGAAGTCTTTGGACTATTAAGAAACAGTAATCAAGTCACCAAAAAAAGCATAATAAAGCTAAAAACAAAAAACCCCAGAAGAAAATCTAGCTACATTCCAAAATTCTTAACAATAAAGTTGAAGTCTTTGGAATATTAAGTAGAGATAATCAAGTCACCAAAAGCATAATTATGCTAAAAACAAAAACCTCAGATGAAAATCAAGCTACATTCTCAATTTAACCAATAAAGTTGAAGTCTTTGAAATATTTTGGATGAGGAGCAGGGCGTTCGCACCTCGACTATTTCACCGAGTACCTACTACCTTCCATCGGCACGGATACCAGTTATCTTTGCCTAGTGTTTCTAAAGTCTTTGGAATATTAAGAAGCAATAATCAAGTCACCAATAGCATAATTAAGCTAAAAAATAAAACCCCAAATGAAAATCAAGCTACATTCCCAATTTAACACATAAACTTGAAGTCTTTGGAATATAGCAATAATCAAGAAACCACAGGCATAATCAAACAAGAAAAGTTTAAAGCCAAAAAAAAAAAAAATATCCAAATAACACTTAATCAAGAATACCCATCAACATAAAACAACTTATTCTGAAACATAATACAATAACATGGGTTCGTCACTTAGTTCTTGGCCAAACATTAAAATTCAAGAAAATTCATGGGTCATTGTGAAAAATGTATTGAAAGAAGGGATTTTAGTGTTGAAAACTCACAGGGATTTTGGATTTGCATGAGGACAGAGCGAGGTGTATAATAGGGGAAATTGAACACTTGGAGATGTGAATGGATCTATTTTGCCATTTGGGGGAAGTGAAATGTAATTTGCCCTAGAAGATTTATTGACCACTTTAGCCCTGTTACTTGACAGAAAATGTCAAACTTCCCCCTCACTCGAAGCTTTATTTTTTCTTTTATTTTCTCCTTTTTTTAGTCTAATTTTTCTATTTCTTTAAAAAAGAAAAAAAACACTTTACATTTAGGGACAGTTTTGGTTAGTAGATAAAATAATGTATGAATTTGAATGTAATAATTGTAATACATGAATTAATATTTACTAAATTATGTTGTGCATATACTTCTATATTTGGTTCATTGCATAAAAATGAGATATACGTTGTATAATCTTACTATTAAAAAATTTGCTTTAAAATAAATAAAACTAAAATTATAAAGACAAGGTTATTTTGATCTTAAGTGTTGGTCCCAGTTTAATTAATAACCGTGTAAGTTAACACATGTTGGATTTGTATAAAACAATATCAGAATTGTAGTATAAAATTGTAGTATCAGTTTTACTTATACCATAAATGAAACGATAACCAAATTTATAGAAATTACCGTAACAGCTTGTTTGGATGGTTGTTACATGTCGTTTCATAATGTATCGTATTGTATTGCACTGTATTGCATTGTATTGTTTGATGAATACAACGTTCGGTTAGACTGTATCGTTTGCCGTTGTATCATGATGTCACGCACCAACAATATGAAGAATAAATTTGCAATACGACTAAGAAAAAATAGGATACGAAGCGAAAATATTATATAAAAAGTATATAGAATAAAGGATAAAATATGATTATTTAATACTAATAAGGAAGGCAAGATAAGAGTAAAAACCAAGATAACGATGCCACCTCACCAAATTCGTTGTTACATAAAGTGGCACTTTCATCGTTACGTAACGACGGAATTAACAATACGATATAATAAAATTTAAGTACCAATCAAAATAAATATTATATTTAAAGTAACAATACGATACAATACAATAGGTAACGACCATCCAAACACACTGTAAGATTCAAGCACTTCCATTGAGATACAAATAAATTTTGGTACCACTGTGAATATTACCATTGATCAACCAAATGATTACACTTAGAGCACTTTATATCATAATCAAACTGATTATGAATATTAAGCCTCTAACAAGAAAATTATATATTAGTAATCCTTCTTTATCAGTGTCACGACCCTAAACCCAGATCCGATCGTGATGGCGCCTCTCGTGAAGACAAGGCCAACCGACACATTTCCAATTCGAAGTTAAACAGCTAAACAACAATAAAACAGGCTAAAACATGATTTAATAGCACTAAGTAGCAGATAATATCATAACAATGCGGAAGTACAACCCAAACACACCCCAAACCGGGGTGTCACTAGTCATGAGTAACTACTAAGGTCTAAATACCACTGACAAAGTCGGAAGTGTACTAAGTATAGACTAATAGAATAAAGAGGGAGAAAAGCAGTGCTGCGAACGCCAGCAGCTACCTTGCTAAACTCCGATGACTCTGCCTCCGATTAACCAATACCCGCTATCGGGTTCAGAAAATACTTGAATCTGCACACAAGGTGCAGGGAGTAAAGTGAGTACTTCCAACTCAGTGAGTAATAATCATAAATAAAGACTGAGTGATAAGAAATCACGAAAAGTGCATCAATATGCTGTATAGAAGTTGTACAAAACCAGTAAGAAAGCAATGAAGCTGTGAAATCTCTTAAAGCGTCTTAGCTCAGTTTAAACTTCTTCAAAAATGGCTTTTCAACAGTTGAGCAATTTAATGCAAGGCAACTAGAACAGACAAGCATAAGGAATACGCCCCTCGGGCAAAATTACAGAACTAAACAGGTAAATGACAGGTAAATAAGACAGATAAACACATAAAGGTTCGCCCCTTGGTCAACAACTCCGCCCCTCGGGCAATATCTCAGATCAATACCAGTCCCTCGGGCAATCACATAGAACAATACCAGCCCCTCGGGCAATCACATAGAACCATACCAGCCCCCCGGGCTATATCTCACATCACAATGGGTACCCGTGCTCACTAGGGGTGTGCAGACTCCTGGAGGGGCCCCTTACGGCCCAAGCGCAATATCAAGCTATCTTATGGCATCATAAACAGGCTCTCGGCCTCATATCAATATCAAGCCACCTCGCGGCGTACAATCTTAGGCCCTCGGCATCATTATCAAAATCAGTGTATCACCGCTGTGGCGTGCAGCCCGACCCAAAAGATAACCTCACAACACAGGCCCTCGGCCTTACTCAGTCAAAATTATATAAGCCTCTCTGGCAATAGTAAAACAGTGTTTCTCAGCCCAAAACATCATTTAAATATCATTTGAGTATTAAAACTGAGTGAACATGGCTGAGTTTTGAAAACAGTGGAAAATAACATGATTGAGTTCAAGTATAAAGTCAAAACAGTGAGGAAATATCAACAAAAATCCCCGAAGGGTTCAAATAATTGGCACGAAGCCCAAATATGGCATTCAACCTAAATAATAATGATAACAAATAGATTTCAGTTAAATACGCGGAAGAATCATCAATCGGGACGGACCAAGTCACAATCCCCAATAGTGCACGACCCCACGCTCATCATCAAGCGTGTGCCTCACCTCAATATAGCACTACGATGGGCAATCCGGGGTTTCAAACCCTCAGAACATCATTTACAATCATTAGTCACCTCGATCCGGTCCAAACTTTAGCCCGCGATGCTTTTGCCCGCACGAATCGACCTCCGGATGCTCCAAATCTAGCCACAATCAGAACATAATCATTAAAATATGCTAAGGGAACGAAGCCCACTCGAAAATATCCAATTCACATAAAAAATTTCGAAATTGCTCAAACCCGGCCCCCGGGCCCACGTCTCGGAATCTGATAACAGTCACATCAATAGAATCCTCGTCCTCACACGAGTCTATACATACCAAGAACATCAAAATCGGACATCAAATGCCCATTCAAATCCTCAAAAGAATTCTCAACTTTTTCTTCCATTCTTCCCCAATTTCCACTCTAATTTCTCAAATTAAATGATGAATTTCAAGACTAAATCATGGAATTAAACCACTTACCCCAATAGCTCCACTGAAAATCTCCTCAATTTTCATCTTCTCCCGAGCTCTCCAATAGTTTTTATGATATTGGACTTAAACCCTCGATTTTAAAATATAAACTGTCTGCCCAGATTTTCCTTCATCGCGAATGCGGCATATCCCTCGCGTCCGTGAAGCACACTGCTTCACAGACCAAAATTTCCTTCTATACGAACGCGAGACCCTCTCGCAAACGCGAAGCTTCCGCTTCCCATACCATCGCGAAAGCGACCTCTTAATCGCGAACGCGAAGCACAAAAGGGCTAGGACCCCAGCTGCTCCATTTACTCTACGCGAATGCGGGAACCTCATCGCGTTCGCGAAGCACTCAGGACCTCACCCTACGCGAACGCGGGACCAACATCACGAACGTGAAGGCCAAATTTTCAGCCTCATCATGCATCCCTATGCGAACGCGGTAGCCTTCTCGCGAACGTGAAGGCCAAAAGTCTGCAACACCAACATCAGAAAATCTACAACTCTCCACAACAAGATTTGATCCGTTCAACCACCCGAAACTCACCCGAGGCCCCCGGGACCTCAACCAAACATGCCAACATATTCCAAAACCTCATTCAAACTTGTTCCAACCTTCGGAACGCTCAAAACAACATCAAAACACCAAATTCACTTCGGATTCAAGCCTAAGAATTTCAAGAACTTTCGAATTACGCTTTTGATCAAAAACCCAACCAAACCACGTCCGAATGACCTGAAATTTTGCACACACGTCACAAATGACACAACGGAGCTGCTGCAACTTCCGAAATTTCATTCCGACCCCTATATTAAAATCTCACCTATCAACCGGGAAACGCAAATATCTCAATTCCGCCAATTCAACCCTAAACCTTCCATGGACTTCCAAAATGCATTCTGATCACGCTACTAAGTCCTAAATCACCTAACGGACCTAACCAAATCATAAAAATTCCAATCCGAGATCATATACAAACAAGTCAAATCTTGGTCAAACCTTTTAAATTTCAAGCTTCAAACTGAGAATTGTTCTTTCAAATTCATTCCGATTACCCTGAAAACCAAAACCAACAATTTACATAAGTCTTAATACATCATACGGGGCAAGTCATGCCCGAGAACTGACGAGCCAGGTGCAAAAGCTCAAAACGACCGGTCGGGTCGTTACATCCTCCCCCACTTAAACATACGTTCGTTCGCGAACGTGCCCAGAATTAATCCAAAAGCCAACCAATCGATGAATAGCCTTACCATGCATATACCCGGGGGTGATCCCACGTCACCCTATCTCATATAGGTCCGATAACACATTGTAACTGAAATTTCACAATCCAATCCAGCCCATAAACCATAAAACCACATTTCCACTTCTGAAATCTTCAATGCGATCAGAATCTCACATTTATACTGGGAATAAGCCCGAACAAGCTGTAATAACCCATACCTGCAACCTCAGGTGCAATTACATGACGTACCACATAACTCAACTGCTTGCAGCGATAACTTCTAATCACAGCAGCCGCACACAACAACCGAATACCGATAGAAAACCTCTTATCATCTAAGGCCTCATTCCAACTCTTTCATGCACTGCCAATGATAAATGAAACACGCAATAAATAATCATTTCTCAGATCAACCATTCATGAAGCCACTTCTCCTTTGGCAAGGACCATAGCAAATTTCTGAGCCGAACCTCGATTTTTATCCTTCCAACATGCTGAAATCGAATCCGTTCGTATTCATTAATGATCCCAACGATCTCATCTAATCCAACACAACCACTCTGGTGTCATGACACCTCAATACAGGCTAAAGCCACAACTTGCGCAATACGCGCACCAATAAGCAACAGTCCGAACATACTCAAATCATGAAAAATGACTCAATTGAAAGAGTTGTCCCTCAAGCTCACCAGTACCACCACAACACAAGGCTG